TGAACTTCTCGGCTAACTGAGATAACCCATCGATCGTTCCCTTCGGTAGGCTATCAAACCATTTCATGGCTGACTCCCCAAGACTGCTAGGGAAGATAGTACAGAGTAGGGGTTCATTTTTTCAATGAATGGTCATCAGCTGCTTGTAATGTCTGATGTGCGAGGCTGGGTCGGTCTTCCCGTCATATAGTCTGAAGTTCGGGACGGTAAATTTGCTCGAAATCCACCATTTCTCTATCCAAACTGTAAATGGAGATGACTCCGAACCGTCTCCATATTCTCCCGTCGCTCTTTTGGCTAGATCCCTAGCCGAACTCTGTTCTGGTCTCCTCAAGCGGTTGTTGAGTTCTTTGGTAATGTACTGTTTCCATGCAACCTTCTCTTGAACCCAAGGGTTCTTCTTCTGGTGACGATCTTCATTGTTGCTTCTGAGTCTATCGAGTTTCCTTTCAGGACTTTCCCTATGGCTTTCCCTCGTACATTTCTCTTTCCTGGTCATCTCTATTATCCTGGTTTTTAGTTCTTCATTTTCTTTGATCAAATCTTTTTCTCTGGCATAAGAATTCTTGAACAACTTGTCATGAGCGTCAAGTCTATCCTATAGGGATTGAACCAATTTTATTAGGGAGTGGTTTTCCTTCTCGACACGGAGGGATTCACTACGATATTCAATTTGACGGTTCTAATTCTTCGAGGGCCTGAAACTGGCAGAGGATATCTCTTCGCCTTCGTGGGATCTAGAAGGGCTTCCTCTTGCCTGAAACCGTGCGTTGCTACCAGGTGGGATGGATGCAAGATCAGAGTCTCTCAAGGCAAAACTGCCTCTAGGTGATCCAATTGCGCTTCTGAGTTTAGACATTGTTACTTCTTGTTGTGAAAGATCGAAATTTTTCCACAAACGGCGCCAAATGTAAGAGGCAAAAAATTGAGATTACCTCCTACTAGAATTGAAATATTAATGTGTATCTGAACTTGATCTCCTAGTCTTTCTCTTCCTGCAAAACAAACAAACTGTCCAAGATCGAAGTGCTTCGATTGAAGGCACTCCGATTCTTAAGTCAGTAAAGATAATGAAATGAATGGAAGAAGACCAAGAGAGTTCAACGTATCTTTCTTCTTGACTCTTTTTGCTTTTTATAGATGGTCAACCCCTTAGGGTTTTCGTGATTTTTGATTCAAGGTGGTACACCTTCCTTAGATTCAGCGATTCAGTTTGGGAGTTTCCTGATATTTCTCCAACAAATCCTCTCGATATCTACACTTCTGTTGATTCATTCATCCAATTGCCTCTATTATAGGCAAAGCTTTATCTTTCCACCTGTCATTTTGAATAGCTCAGACATATCGAACGCCGAGCACTTTTGATATTTGCCGAACAATTTTAGAGACTTGGTTTGGCACAAACCATTCTCTTCGATCGCTTTCCCGAACACTTTAATAGGCTTGGCTTGGTATAAGCCGAGTTCTTTCCTTGCTTAGTTGAACAAATTGATGAGCTCGGTCATAAAGAGAACCGAACTTCTTTTTTGTTTTTCAAACCTTTCCTTAGCTCGGCTTAGCTAGAAGGCTTAATAGAGAATTCTTCATCACATGCCTTGCCTCGTCAACATTACGTGAACACATTTAATGTCATATCACGTGTAATCATGAGATTTAACCCCTTCAATTTCATACACTTTGCATCTACATGTTTCATACAAGTTTCGATTGGGAAACCTTTCTTTTTTTTGGCTGGTTGGAGGAGGGAGAATGGCAACCAGTAGGTAGTAACTCTTTTTGGGCGTGACTATGAGGGTTTCCCACCGTAAAATATTCGGTTTGAACCATAATTACTAATCTGAAAAGATAATTTGTTATCACAACACTATCAAAGTCAAGTAACAATCCGTATTGTTCCCATGAATCAAATCCTACTTAATAATCACATAAAAGTCAAGAACAACCTTAAACAAATACAACTTATTACTAGATCACCAGTTTGGATGGTATTATTCGACAAAAAAGAGAAGTTACCATACCTAAAAAATAGTTTTTCCGTGCTACCCTAATGTTAAGGGTTCCTAACATGTTTAAATGGGATCTCTAGTTGCCTTTCTCTCTCTCTCACACACATATTCGCTGAGCATGTGCATGCTCTTAACATGTTTGAATGGATCTCTAGTTGCGCTTCTTTGTCGTTGGTAATGAAGGAAACTTGGTTTTGACCACATTAAGCATATCCAAAGAAGAAAAACTACGTAATGTTTATAATGTTAAACAACTATCTATTCTAAAAAATTTAAATTGTTGAAGAACATGTAACTAAAATATTTATACTTCAACAAATAGTAATGTTAGCTATCAAAATAATCTGGGGATTGAAAAACACAACTCATTGCAATAGTGTTGCAAATATATATATATAAAAACAGAATTGAAATTTAATTGCCACCGATGAGTAAGTCTATAGCAGACTAGGGAAAGTCTAAGATATCCAATTAAAAAAATTCGGTACCGTACCGTTGGTTGTTATTTTTTCTGATAAATTTACAACTTTTAAAAATAGAAAATACAACTATTCAAAAGAAATCATGATCGATCATAGACTTTCCTTCAATAGTTGTAATTTCTCATTTATAAGTTGTAAGTTAATTTTTAAAAATTATAACTTAACTTTTGATTATTGTAATTAACTTTAGTATCGATCTCAATCTATCATGATTGATAATAAGTTTTAAAAATTAAAACTTATATCCCAAAAAATTAAACAATTATAAATTTCGGCACGGTGCCTCCTCGGATAGCATAGCCTTTCCCAGCAGACTAAAGAATAGTTGCCAATGGTTGCATGCCGGCCGCCAACTGCATCAATAATCCCTATTATTTTTAAATGTCAACGACTTTGATTTATTTATTTATTTTGAACAAAAAATTAAAGACTATGATAACTTTTAGGAAAATATTTTTGGAATTACTCCAATTAAAAAATTACTCTGATATTACTTTGTTAGAGTCGAGAGGATTAGAAATAAAATAAAATAATTTACGAACACTCAAATAAAAAATAATTTTCATATAAGTTGATTACAATCACACGTTAAACTTGAATTTTTCAACTTCTACTCAACTATATTTATTTTTAACGTTATACTATATGTCCTATTTATATAGGTCATTCATATAACTCTTATCATTACATTCACACACCACTACAGCTATTAACGCTGGTAACTCCTAAAATATTAAGACACCATTAGTTAGGGAAGCAAAAGTAATCATAATAAAAGGTTATAGTAATGTGGGTGATGACATGCATGGGTAGACTAATCATATTGACCAAATTTTGGGACCAAATTTTGAGGTCAAATGACATGACAACATATTATTATGGGGCTTAGAGAGGCCGGTACCTCCCAAAAAACTTAATAGGGTAAAAGTATATTTTTTAAAATAATTGGAATAGAAGTATATATGCTAAAAAAAAGTCATAAAAGTCTTTTTACCCATAACATAAATAGTGCATACCTAATTGAATGTGAGACTTTCAAGATTCCTTCTGATATTTGTGTATTATTTAAATTTTAAAATTTCATATATATATATATATACACACACACACACTCACGTAACACAGTGACATCAAACAGTGACACGCTCAACAAAAAAATAGTAATATCAAACAGTGAAACGCTCAACAAAAAAAGAGTAACATAAAACAGTAACACACTCAACAAAAAAATAATAACATCAAACAGTAACACACTTAACAAAAAAAATAGTAGAATCAAACAGTAACACAAGTATTTTTGTTGAGCGTGTCATTGTTTGATGTCACTGTATTATTGTGTGTGTGTGTATGTGTAAAATTTCAAAATTTAAATAATACACAAATATCAAAAAGAATCTTGAAAGTCTCACATTCAAGTAGGCATGCACTATTTATGGTAGGAGTCATTATGGAATATATTTTAGAAAGAATTTGAAAATATTTTAAAATATATACTTATTGACAATTATTTGATTAAAAAGAGGACTTAAATGAGGATAAGTTTAGAGATGGTACTTAAAACCAAATGAGTTTTGAAAAAGGTACTCACATCCCATTATTTCTATTATTTAGAGTCTTTATTGGAGATCAAATGACATGACACCAAATAAAGAAGTCCAAGTCAGCTACCATGTCATTTGGGCTCCAAATTTAATCTTAAAATTTGGTCAACATACCATTACTGTTTTAACAAAGATACATGTAAATATATAGTTCTATAGATCTCCTACAAGAAAATAAAAGAAGAGTGAGAAATAAGAAGCCCCATAACTAATTAATAACTATGCCCATTGTCAAAGATAGCCATTTATTTAATACTACAGTTAGAAAGTTGAATTATTAAATTTTAAAAGTATAACAACGATCAAAATTGATCTAATCTTCATATACTTTAATCCAATAATACAAAATTCATCCTAATTTTTTTTTTCCCTCTAAAAATATTAATTTCTCTGCATGATTTTTTAACGTCACACTCCCTAAGAACTAATCTCCCTTATTCCGCAAGGGACATGTCTTTAAACTAACTTGAGTTATGGTAGTTGATTCAAAGCTTGAGGAAGTAAATCTATTGATTTATAAGAATACGAGAAAAATTGGAAAAAAAAGGGACAACCATCTCAATTGTATTCAATAATAAAAAATTGTTTTGCCTTGAGACTTAGACTTTAAATAGTAGTAGAAGTGTTAAATAGTAATAGAAGTGTTAAAACAACTAGGAAACTAGATTTCTAAATAAATTAAGAAACCAAATAAAATAAAATTTTAATTTAATAAAAACTAAAATAAAATAATTTTTTAATTATATTAGAAAATAAAAAAAAAGTCCTGTAGAATTTTCTAATTGAACGATCACTTGAAATAAAAAATCAAAATTTTATCCACAATGCGATGAAAGCTCATCTACAATACCTTTTCTTGAGTCTTATTAAGCAGAAGTTATACATAAAGTCAAAAGTTGTGTGTTTTATGCATGGACACAGCTCTCAATTTGCTGAAAGATGTTGAGGTGGATGCAATAGTTGGTCCTCAAAAATCTGCACAAGCCAATTTTGTGATGGATCTCGGAGACAAAGCCCATGTACCCATCATTTCTTTCCCTGCAACAAACCCTTCCCTTCTTCCTCCAACTCCTTATTTTGTTCAAACAGCTCAAAGTGACGACACTCAAGTTGGGGCCATTGTTGACATAATTAAGACCTTCCAATGGAGAAGTGTAATCATTATACACGAAGACACAGACTATGGGAATGGAATTGTTCCATATTTGGTTAATCACTTTGAAGATTTTGATGTTCGAGTTCGATACCGATGCATTGTTCCCCTCTTAGCAACTGAGGATTTTGTGCTTAAAGAGCTGTACAAGATGATGATGACTATGGAGACGAGGGTGTTTGTGGTGCACATTTCACATTCTCTTGGTGCCCTTATGTTTCTGAAAGCAAAGGAGATTGGAATGATGAGTGAGGGCTATGCATGGATTGTCACTAGTGGCTTTATGGATTTACTATATTCCATGGACTTTCATGTCTTGGAAGCCATGCAAGTTGTGTTGGGGGTGAAGCCCAGAGTCCCAAAATCAAAAAAACTTGACTCTTTTGTCGTTAGATGGAAAAGGACATTCCTTCATAACAATCCCAGCATCAAACAAGCTGAGATAAGCACGTTTGGTCTATGGGCATATGACACTCTCTGGGCACTGGCCATGGCTGCACAGAGAGTTGGATTAAGGGAACCTAACACTTTTGTGAATGAAAGTACTAACAATTCAACAAACTTGTTTAGTTTTGGAACATCCCAAACGGGTCCTGAACTTCCCAAAGCAATGATGGAGACAAGATTTGATGATGGACTTGCTGGTAAGTTTCATCTTGTTATGGACAATTAAAGGCATCGTCATACCAGATACAAAACGTGGTTGGAAATGGGGAGAGGGAGATTGGAATTTGGAGACCATCTCTAGGAATTTCAAGGGAATTCAACAATAATATTAATATAACGAATAATTCTGATTTGTATAAGAAGAAAAAATTGTGAGGTATCGTATGGCCTGGAGAATCAACAGTTAAGCCCAAGGGATTGGAAATCCCAGTAATTGGGAGGAAGCTGAGGATTGGGGTGCTAGTGAAAAAGGTTTTACTGAGTTCGTGGTAGTTGAAAGGAACAATCAAATTGATGCCACCAAAGTTACCGGATACTGTATAGATGTTTTCGATACTGTGATTCAAGCATTACCATATGCTGTGCCGTATGAGTATGTTCCCTTCGCAAAGCCTGATGGTTCTAGTAATGGGAGTTATAATGATCTAGTTCATCAAGTGTTTATACAGGTAAGTTTACCCAAGTATGGTTCTTTTTCACGTCGAAAGAAGATGCATGGGGCAAGAATAGATGAAATCCGGAATATATATAAAACAATTCTGACATGGTATCACCGTTGCATTGAATATTTTCTCCATGTTAAAGATCTATTTTCTACATTATATTAAGTGATATTTTGTAACTCTGGGTGATTGGACTAGAATTTTGATGCTACGGTGGGAGATATAACAATCGCAGCTAACCGATCATCATATGTGGACTTCACATTGCCATACGCAGAAGGAGGAATCTCCATGGTAGTGCGAATTACTTATGAGGACATGGATGACAAATGGACCTTCTTCAAGCCCCTAAAGAGGGATCTATGGCTGGCAAGCATAGCTTTCTTTATTCTCACTGGATTTTCTGTTTGGGTTCTCGAACACAGAATAAATACTGCATTCAAAGGTCCTCCTTCTCAAAACATTGACATGATCCTGTATTTTCTGTTTTCGACCCTAGTATTTGCACACAGTTGAGTAATCTTTTTGCTTTTTTTTTTCCTTCAACTTAAAAAAAAAACAATTCAGGGCACAAGGCTTTCGTTATTTATATTGCTTTAGCTCCTTGTCATGTACTTGGTGTTTATTGCTTTGTAGGAGAAAGACTAGTGAGCAATCTTACCCGATTGGTTGTGGTGGTGTGGGTGTTTGTGATGCTCACATTTAGCTCCAGCTACATTGCAAGCTTATCATCGAGATTAACTGCACAGAGGCTTCGACCAGCCATCAAAGACGTGAAGGAGCTTATTGAAAATGGACACAACGTCGGGTGTCAAGAAGGTTCATTCATTGTTGATCGGTTGAAAGGGATAGGATTTGAATAATCGAAGATCAAGCATCCAGATGATTGTGATGAAGCTTTGAATAAAGGAAGTAGAAATGGTGGTATATCAGCTTTTTTTGATGTGGTGCCTTACAACAATCTCTTCTTATCCAAGAACTGCAACAAGCATATGATAGTTGGTCCTGTCAATCGAACAGAGGGATTTGCGTTTATAAGTCTCTTTCTTCTCTCTAGAATCAACATCAATTAGCTATATACTTGAGGGTGACATTGTGGGACTGTTGAATTTATTATTTGGTATAGGTTTAAGCTCACAAAAATTCATCAAATATGTTATTCTTTGGATTGTTACTACTTACTAGATTATATGAATCCATTGATAGAACTCACTCTTGCAAACCAACTTGGAAAAGGTGCTCATATACACATTATCAAGATGATATTTGATAGATGTGGGACACTTAGAATCATATGAAGGGACCAAGTTGCATAATCCTTTTGGCGTGTCAGCTGCCAACCAAGCCAATGGGCCAGTCCTATCCTTTCCTGGTGAAGCTTCATTTGATTTAAATGAATGAGGAACGAAGGCGTATTCAAGAGAAAAGAAAGCTCCAATTTGGGCATGAGCTCTAGTACATTGACCTCTCGCAGACCTGAAACTCCAAGACTCGTTCAAAACTTATTTGCACATGGCCTAGCCCATACTATACACACACATTCATACATCAATCTGTTATAATGCATATGAAATAATGTATGCATGATTAGGTAATAGCATAGTAATATCCAATAACATTAGTATTAATCACAGATCATTTCATATGTATAACTTATTGTGATCACATCACAGGTATTTCCAAAAGGGTCTCCTCTAGTTGCTGATGTCTCTCGGGCGATAGTCAGTCTAATAAAAAATGTCAAGATTTTACAACTTGAGAGACAGTGGCTTAAAAACCCACCATGTATTGTCAGCGGTATCTCCTCAAGCGGCCTCACCTTGAACAGTTTTGAAGGCCTTTTTGCTATAAGTGGTGTTATAGCAATGTGCCTTGTTATATTCTTAGTTATATACCTCTACAAGAACAAAGATTTTCTTCAGAGAATATCAAGTTCGAGCACAAACACTTGGTCAAGAATACTTGAATTATGCAGACATTTTGACAAGAAAGACCTTACTTCCTACCCCTTTAGGATGAACCGAGGCACCCAAGATCAGTTTCAGGAAGTGAATGATGTTGGTGTTTCATCAGAACTCAGCGATTCACCAAATTTACCAATACATTCTCACTCTATTAATAGAATAGTTCCTCTCCCAGAAGAAGAGGAAGAGAGAGGTGCAGATAGAATATGTCCTATTCCAGTTTCGGAAGCAGAAGAAGAAGAAGAAGAAGAGGAGAGAGATGAACTTGAAATCAACATCGTTTCAAACCCATTATATATTGCAGCAACAACGACTACCTGTGGATAAATGGTGATAATCGGGCAAGGTTGTGTGTATAGAGCTCAAGGATTGAAATGCTCCGAAAGGAATTGTACGTGGCCGAATCTACTTTGAATATGAAGTCCATATTTCGGCGGCTGAATCTACTTTGAATTTGATGTTCGTATATGTTTTATAGATTTACACGTTGTCGATTGGAAATTAAAAGTAGATATTATTCGAAAGAAACGATTGCTTAATTACTGTAATAATTTTAGAATATGTATATTTTGTGGTAATTGCATTTAGTGTTGTCCAAGTAATTGTTTCTTTGTAAAATATATCTTTGTTTGTGGTACCACTAGGCTATGAGTGTTTCAAACATATACATTTCAAATATGAAAGTAGATATGTAAGAGAATAAAGATTACAATAGTTACAATTTTCCCACACTGTATTGATGTAATCTGTACTGTCTTATATACATGGTTCGGAAAAATTATTTACGGCAATGTACATAAATATAGCTAAAACTATGTAGCAGTTACAGATATGCAGCAATTACAAAAATATACAAAATTAATTTTGAATGATCTTGCTTGATTGTAGGCTAGATGTGCTCTGTTCAGTCTTGGCCTTGATTGTCACACTCCTACCTTGGATCACATAGGGTGAGCAGCGGACCGGCCACCGAGGCCTTAACCAATCATCCCTGTGCATAATTAATGTAAAATACAGCGGAAGACAAATAATAAAGTGATCCTTTTCACCGAACTAATGAATACCAGAGAAATAAACTAACATCACCGACATTATTACTAAACTCATGTAAAACAATAATTAATCCATAAGGTTCACTACTCTAAGCAAAAACAACATTGTTCTCAAAACAATCGAATACTTGTCTCAAAACTATAAAAAAATATTTATTCCTAAAGACATACAATAAAATAAATCTTCGATTCTTCTAATCCCTTGTCTGTCCGAGGATTTACTGCTTTTCCTGATCCTCACCTGAAAAATGTTAAATATTTGGGTGACCACAAGGCTCGTGAGTAGCAACCACCTCTAATGAGGTTTGAAAATAAATCTCACATTTCATATACATAGAAATAAACTTTGTTATATACATAAATACAATAAATTGTACATCAATCCTTTTCACATAACCATATAAACAAAATGATCTCATGATCATAATAACTTTAAAAAAGAAAAGACATTTATAGCTCAAAACACTCACACACACATTCAGTCTCAAATACACTTGTCAAATCATGTTTGTTACTACTAGCCTGGTAACTGGCCCTATCTCTTATCATCACTAGCCTGATGACTAGCCCCGTCTTTTGTTATCACTAGCCTGATAACTGGCCCCTATGTGCACATCCTTATACCGACCACGTCGGTATACAATCTCGTTATCATTTAGACCTGGTAACCCAGTCCCCTTCTCATAAAACATGATTTCAACACACACACACTAAAATTGTTGTTTTAGTCCAATTGCACACAAAATTTCTCTTTCATCACCAAAACCATTTAAGCAATAATATAAAATCATCTCATAAGTTTTTCAAATTCACATGTGTAACAATTCACAATTGCAAAAATATTTAATTGCAACCCCAAACATCAACATATATCATATATATGAAAAATTCACACACACGCACGCACAAGTTTAATATAGAAAATCCTCCCAAAAGAAGTAATAAACTACTCACATTGATTTTCAAAATCTAATTCAAAGCACTTTTTTCCAACCTCAATGCAATCACCACCTAATCCAAAATAACATATAACAATCAATCCCTTTTTCCTAATTTTGTCGTTTCGCGATTCTATATTTAATTTTATATTTTTTACTCATTAATATATACTCAATATATATTTTACATATAAATATCCTTTATAATATGATGTAACAGCGTATGAAAGTATTCTGGACTGTTTGAAAAAGTTTCTAAAGTTCTAGGGTCAAATCATAATTTTTAAAACTTTTGGGGCCAAAGTGTAATTTCCTTGAAAAACGAATTTTCTGTTTTCGGGCTTGCCATAAATTTTCCAGAATTCTGTTCTTGCAACTTATCAAGTAAAAAGGTATTTAAAATTAAGTATAAAAGAATAAAGGGGTCAAAATAAAACTCCTTAAAACTACAGGGAAGTTTTATGTAATTTTTTTTTCGGATTTTGGCCTTCTTCTTCCTGCGGCTGAACCTGAACCTGTATACTTCCTTTTCCCTATGTTTTCTTTTTGCTTTGTAAGATATTAAACAAATTCTTCAAAGCCTCAAAAACAATAAATCTAATATTAGGTCTCAAAACACTTAAATTAACAATTTCTAATAAAACTCATTTATACATTCATCACTATTCTTTACCATGAATATATATATATATATACATATAATGATTAAATTCAAAATTAAATTTCAATTTGAAAATTAACCTTGATGATCAAATCTTCTAGTTTTCTTTTTTTTTTTCTTCTCTAAATCCCCTTCTTTCTTTCTCTTCCTTTTTCTTTACTCAAAACCCTAGTCTCTCCTCTCCTTTCTCTTATTCTAACTTATGTCTATATGTTGGGAAGAGAATATATATATCTATATGTCACTAGACTTCTAGGGCAACAAGAGAACTCATTTTAATCACACTTTTATCCCTTTTTTTTTTTTTTTTAACTTTGCCCTATTTTGACTGGGTATATATATGTAAATACAAAATAAAAGAAACCGTACGGTTACCCAACGATTCCTCATTCATTAATTACACTAACATCCCTTTTCAAAAATAATATCACAAATTGACCTAAATTGAGTTATATACGTATATATTTCAAAAATTTGGGGTATTACATTGATTCTTGCTATCTGTCTTTATACGGCCCCGCAAGATTGAGCTTCCGTCAGAAAGCCCAATCTTGTTTCTCAAGATTTCTGTTCTTTGTCTTGATAATGGTTTTGTCAACAAATCAGCCAATTGATCTTGTGTATGAATATGTTGAACTCGGAGAGAGCCACGTTGAACAAGATCACGCACAAAATGAAGATCAATTTGTATATGTTTCATGCGTGAATGTTGAACTGGATTGAAGCTTAGGTGTGTAGCACCAAGATTATCACACAGTAGTAAAGGGGCACCTTTTAGTGGAAAACCCAGCTCATGAAGAAGAGCAAGAAGCCACATTGTCTAGGATGATGCATTTGCAAGCTCGGTATTCAGCTTCGGTAGTAGATCTTGCAACTGCTCTTTGTTTCTTTGAGCTCCATGAAATGGGATTTGAGCCTAAGAAGATGATATATGCAGATGTGGAAGTACGATCATCAACATTTCCAGCTCAATCGGCATCGGAATAGGTAACTAAAGTTGGAGGTCCAGATTTTGTGAGTTGTATACCATGAAAAATGGTGTGCTTTAATTACTGAAGGAGCTTTTTTGTTGCTGTGAAGTGAGTAGTGGTAGGCTTGTGCATGATTGAGACAACTTATTGACTGCAAATGAAATATCTGGACGTGTCAAAGAAAGATACTGCAAGCTGCCAATAATTCTTCGATATTCTGTGTTGTCCACATTTGTTGTGCCATCAAGTAACTTGAGTGACTGAGTTGTGGAAAGAGGAGTTGATACATCTTTGGCACCACTCATGTTGGTATTGGACAATAGCTCTCGAATGTATTTGTGTTGTGAGAGAAAAAGTCCTGCCTGAGTGGGTACAACTTCCACACCTAGGAAGTAATGAAGTAGACCCATATCTTTAAGAGAAAAACGATCTCCCAGTTGCTTGATAATTGAAGCCACAAAATTTCTGTTATTTCCTGTAATTACAAGATCATCGACATATACCAAGAAGTAACAGATTATAGAGTCCTTTCTATAAATGAATAGGGACGAATCAACTCTAGAATTTTCAAACCCAAGCTCAAGCAGTACATTTTTCAGTGTAGTGTACCAAGCCCGAGAGGCTTGTTTAAGCCTATATATTGCTTTTTGGAGCCTGCAAACATGATTGGGTTTAGATGGATCTTTGAACCCTGGAGGTTGCATCATATATACAGTTTCAGACAATGCACCATGTAAAAAGGCATTATTAACATCCATTTGCCTTAACTCCCAACCATTCACAACAGCAATAGACAAAATTGTCCTAATTGTGGCTGGTTTAACCACTGGGCTGAAGGTCTCTTTGTAATCAAGCTCGGGACGTTGATTATAACCCTTTGCAACTAAACGGGCTATGAATCTATCCACTGACCCATCAGATTTCCTCTTCACCCGGAACACCCACTTGCAGCCCACTGGGTTACAATTTAGAGGGAGTGGCACTAAATCCCAAGTGCCATGTTTCATGAGAGCTGTTAGCTCATTTGACATATCATCACGCCACTGTGGTTGAGACAAAGCCTGACTCACACAGGTTGGTTCAATGGACTCAGGGAGTGGGTGTGTAGACACAAAATTAAGTTGTTTGGGTTTAAAGATTTTGTTCATAGACCGAGTGGTCATTTGGTGATGTCGTTGAACAGGTGGTGGAGATGGGTTTTGAGCAGTCGAGTTTTGGAAATTTTCGGCTTGTCCAAGTGGTTGTGTAACAGATGAGAGGTGAGGAACCAATGAGTTTGAATCATTCACACAAGGGTTCGAACTAGAACTAGGAGATGATGAATTTAAGTTCAAGGAAATATGACCTAGATTTTTCAAATGAAATCTGAAGAGAAGTAGAAGAAGAGTTGAGCAGATTACCGGAGGAGACTGCGTCAACGGTGGCTACACCTTTTGGAGTCGTGGATGAGAGCTGCAGAGCAGACGACATCGATGAGAGCACGGGCGTGACTGGGGCATCGAAGAACAGATGCGTATGTAGGGCTTTCGGCGTGTGGGTTTCCGAGTTTATAGAAGACACAGTGGGAGTGTTTGGTTCATCGAAAAGAACATGCCTAGAAATGTAAATCTTGTGAGTTTTGATGTCAAGACACTTGTAGGCACTTTGGACTTGAGAGTATCCAAGGAACACACAAGGTGAGGCTTTAGGCTGCATTTTGTGAGTGTTATAGAGCCAGGTAAGTGGGTAACAAAGACACCCAAATTTTCTCAATTTGAGATAATTTGGTTTTTGACCAAAAAGAGCTTCAAAAGGAGAATTGTTTTGAAGAAGAGGAGAGGGTTGCCTATTGATTAGATAGGATGCTGTGTGAAAAGCATGAGGCCAATAGGAAAGAGGTAACGATGCATCATGGAGAAGAGACCCGTTTCAACTAGATGACGGTGGCGACACTCGGAAACACCATTTTGTTGTGGGGTGTGTGGGGCGGTGGAATAATGACCAGTACCATTGATCAATAAAAAAGATTTTAAAGCAATGAATTCACCACCATTATCAGAGTACAAATTTTTTATTTTGGTTTGGAAGCGTGTTTCGACAAATTTTTTAAAGTGAGGAAAAATAGTAGATATCCCAGATTTGGTAGCCATTGGATAGAACCACATATATTTTGTGAAATGGTCAACCAATATAAGGTAATAACGAGATCCGTCAATTCCAGTATAATGTGCGGGTCCCCAAACATCAGTGTAAATAAGTTCAAGCGGTGCATGACTTTGAAGACTATTGGAATGAAAAGGTTGTTGATGTGCTTTATTGATAGAACAGGAACTACACAATTGAGAATTTTTATTTGTTTTGGCAACAGGAAGAGAAAAATTCTTAACAAGATGTTGGACTATTCGAAGAGATGGATGCCCAAGACGCTTGTGCCACCCATCAATTGAGGTCCGTTCATGCACATTAGCAACCATTTTGGAGGGTGAAGACATCATTGATTCTGGAAAAGTGTAAACACCGTTTTCACATGCTCCTCGAAATAGAATCGCCCCGTGATCTTGTCCTTCACAAAGAAATGAGACAGGTGAAATTCAACAACAACATTATTTTTTTTGGTCAGATGATGAACACAAATTAAATTTTTGGAAAGATTTGGAACACAAAGAGTATCACTTAAGATAAAGGTGCATTTGGGTGAGTGTAATTCCAAAGAACCAACGTGAGACAGTTAAACCTGAACCATCACCAAGAATTACTTCATCAGTACCATCATATTCAGAGTGAATTGACAAATTTGCAAGATCACCCGTTATATTGTGAGAGGCCGCCGAGTCCATGAGCCATGTTTTGTCTTTTTCATTAGAAGAGGTGACGCAGTTAGCTGTGAATTGGTTGGACTGTAGCTGGGGACAGTACATTGCAGTATGGGCAATTTGCTCACAAAGTTGACAGCAGAGCGTTTACCGTTTCTGGTTGTTGTTGGGCTTGCCAAACCCATTATTAGCATTTCGTCCATCACGTTGATGACCATTGGATTGACGGGCTGGGTTACGTTGATGCCCATTCGATTTATAAGACTTCTTTGAGAAGTCACCTCCAGATGAAGATTTTCCCTTAGTCGTGTAATTTGCCGTCATTACCATCTGCTGAGTAGCAGTCTCTAGACGCCGAAGATAAGATTCGTGACCCACCAAGAGATTGTGCAGCTCTTCAAACACCAAGGACTTCTCCCGTGCTCGGATCAGCGCAGCTATCTCCCAGAAATCCGATCCTAACCCGTTCAAGACATAGAGGGTTAAATCGTCATCGGAAATGGGATGATCAATAATGGCAATTTCATCAGCCAAGGCCTTCAGAGCATGGATGTAGTCTGTGATCGATCGATTGCCGCGCTGGATTAAGGTGAGCTCCTCCTTTAACTACATCGCTCTTGTCAATAATTACTTCTAAGCAAATTAGCTTATTAAATGTGAGTTCTTGTTATTCTAATTAGTCAAGTTCATTGCACAGATATATCATGAGGAGAATATCTATGTTTTTTTTAAAAGTAAAATTTAATTTATTTACAAGTTGTTACTATAGAATTTTCTCAAAATTACAATCATCCAACCATGAAAATAATAATAAAATATAATCTTCCGGTTTCCAAGAGGGAGATGCTAAGGAAACTTGAGTGAAAGTGTTCCCCGCTAACAATTCCCAAAGATGAATCAGAGGGCCTACCTCCTCCCTCGGAGACTCTTTCAGTGTTCTCTGAGAGGTTAGGAATAATGCTATAATTATTCATTCTCTTCTCTTTCAAAAGAACTAAAAAGACAATAGAAAGCCTTATAGCAAGCGTTTAAAGACCTTAAGTTAGCCTCGCCCTTGAGACAGGCTACTCAAAAGAGTTTTGGTAATTTAATGAACGGTTGCCCATCCAACAATAAAAAGTATAAATATGGAAATTTATCTACCATTTGGATTAGTGAATTTATGAAGAAAATCGAGTTTTAAATTCTATTAAGCCACACAATTATATAGTCAAAGAGAGTACGCCGTGCCTAAAATCATTCCAAGCACTGCTAATGTGTCTACTAAGTTATTTCTTTGGAAAGCTCCTACTAATAAATTTTCCGAAAAAGCTGCTAATACCAGGTGAACTGATATTGACGAAAGTGGAAGAGAAGAAAATGGTAGTCAAAGATGCTTCCAATAGCTATGCATACGTAGCAAAAGCGTGCATTTTTCTACTAGCATGTGAAAGAAAGATGTTTGGAGGATTTCTCTTTCTTTGCAGTAGCTGAGAAACTACATGGCTATGCATGCACCCAAATGCAAAGGGAATGAATATACAAACACTTAATCAAGGGCACTACTTTACTATAACCTGCTTTACTACATCTTGCAGTACTGTGAGATGCTGAAAGTTACATAACATGAGTAAGAGCTAGCTATACTTGTTTCTAACAGTGGCATTTGCATCTACTAGCAACTTCACTAAATCTCTCATTGAGGGTCTTTTGCCAGCCTCCTTTTCTGTACACCTCAAAGCCATCAAAAGCACATCGATAACTTGTTTCATGATCCTCGAGTCTATAAATTCATCCAAAAGGCTTGGATCTACGAACCTCAATTTCTTCAAAGTTGCTCCACGCAGATCTAACACACCCAACGATGTCTCCTTCCTTCATATCCAAAGCTTGCTTTCTAGTTATCTGATGGGACTTTTCTGAAATACTGCATGATGAAGACACGTATCCTCGGTATTACAAAAACACTGTTGCTAAGATCAAACACCATCGGCTCACAAAGGTCCCTCGCTCCCGAGGTACTCGTCATATGGGATCAAGGCATTCAGTACGTTTCNTGCCGTTGCTGACACGCGACTTGGGAAAACAAACGATTAATTACACCATTCCCTTGACGAGACTGCATTCAATGCAGTAAGGCTCGGAAATGAAAGACAATAAATGTTCCTAATACAGAGCATTTATTGTATCCTCCCCGAGAGGAGTCCATTGTACCGTCGGCATCCCGATGACGCAGCATTGATTGCTCGGGACCCCGAGCAGTTAAGAAGAGAAGACATTCCTCATCAGAATCAGTGCGCACACTGCCTGTACCTAATGATCACCTACTGACTACACTGACAGCAATCATGAGCTTTTGAGGTATAAATACTCCTTGCAAAAGGCAAGACGGGTATGCAACAAAAAACTCTTTACTACAATACACACTCAGTGTTTTCTCCTTCCTCTCTCTTTCTCAAAGACTGACTAGATCGTCGGAGGGGATACGCCGAAAAACACTCCGGCGCCCTTCTAACTTGTTCTTCTTTGTTCCAGGAACCTCTCTTCAGCCTTACTGGATCGTTCTTCCGCTCCCCCAGGGTCTCCCGTTGCCGTTCCAGGTTATCACCGGACCTCGCAGGCTGTTCCAAGCAGCGTGGTTAGTCACTCAACTGACTCACTCGAGTTCACCAAGAGAGAGATCTGTTCTCGTTTTTATATTGTGCAGGATCGTGCACGCACATTATCAGTTCCAACAAAACAACCCCATAACTATAGACATCAGACTCCTTGCTCTTTGTAGTTGCAAATGCATTCTGTCAAAAAAAAATGGAAAAATCACAACCTAGGCACAATATTGAAAAATATGTGCTAAACAAAGTAGTACATATACAAGTATTACCTGGAGCAATATACCCTATTGTGCCCTGCAATCAAACCGATGCCACCAAAGTTATAGGATACTGAATAGATGTTTTCGATACTGTGATTCAAGCATTACAATATTTTGTGCCGTATGAGTATGTTCCCTTCGCAAAGCCTGATGGTTCTAGTAATGGGAGTTATAATGATCTAGTTCATCAAGTGTTTCTACAGGTAAGTTTACCCAAGTATGGTTCTTTTTCACGTTGAAAGAAGATGCATGGGGCATGAATAAATGAAATCTGGAATATATATATAAAAAACAATTCTAATATAGTATCACCTTTGCATTGAATATTTTTCCATGTTAAAGATTTATTTTTTACATGAGTAATGCTACGCTGACCAAATTTAGAGCCCAAATGATATGACAGCATATTATTTGTGGTCTTTATTAGGGTCCAAATGACATGACACTAAATAAAAAAGTCCAAGTCAGCTGTCATGTCATTTAGCTCTAAATTTGGTCACTATAGCATTACTATTTTTACATTATATTAAGTGATATTTTGTAACTCTGGGTGATTGGACTAGAATTTTGATGTGACGGTGGGAGATATAACAATCACAACCAATCGATCATCATATGTGGACTTCACATTGCCATACGCAAAAGGAGAAATCTCCATGGTAGTGCGAATTACTTATGAGGACATGGATGACAAATGGACCTTATTCAAGCCCCTTAAGAGGGATCTATGGCTGACAAGCATAGCTTTCTTTATTCTCACTGAATTTTTTATTTGGGTTCTTGAACACAGAATAAATACTGCATTCAGAGGTCCTCCTCTCAAAACTTTGGCATGATCCTGTATTTTCCGTTTTCAACCCTATTATTTGCACACAATTGAGTAATCTTTTTGCGTTTTTTTTTTGTTCAACTTAAAAAAAAATACAATTCAGGGAACAAGACTCTCGTTATTTATATTGCTTTAGCTCCTTGTCATGTACTTGGTGTTTGTTGCTTTGTAGGAGAAAGACTAGTGAGCAATCTTACTCGATTGGTTGTGGTGGTGTGGGTGTTTGTGATGCTCATATTTAGCTCCAGCTACACTGCAAGCTTATCATCGAGATTAACTGCACAGAGGTTTCGACCAACCATCAAAGACGTCAAGGAGCTTCTTGAAAATGGACACAATGTCGGGTGTCAAGAAGGTTCATTCATGGTTGATCGGTTGAAAGGGAAGGGATTTGAAGAATGANGACACAACGTCGGGTGTCAAGAAGGTTCATTCATTGTTGATCGGTTGAAAGGGATAGGATTTGAATAATCGAAGATCAAGCATCCAGATGATTGTGATGAAGCTTTGAATAAAGGAAGTAGAAATGGTGGTATATCAGCTTTTTTTGATGTGGTGCCTTACAACAATCTCTTCTTATCCAAGAACTGCAACAAGCATATGATAGTTGGTCCTGTCAATCGAACAGAGGGATTTGCGTTTATAAGTCTCTTTCTTCTCTCTAGAATCAACATCAATTAGCTATATACTTGAGGGTGACATTGTGGGACTATTGAATTTATTATTTGGTATAGGTTTAAGCTCACAAAAATTCATCAAATATGCTATTCTTTGGATTGTTACTACTTACTAGATTATATGAATCCATTGATAGAACTCACTCTTGCAAACCAACTTGGAAAAGGTGCTCATATACACATTATCAAGATGATATTTGATAGATGTGAGACACTTAGGATCATATGAAGGGACCAAGTTGCATAATCGTTTTGGCATGCTAGCTGCCAACCAAGCCAATGGGCCAGTTCTATCCTTTCCTGATGAAGCTTCCTTTGATTTAAATGAATGAGGAATGAAGGCGTATTCAAGAGAAAAGAAAGCTCCTATTTGGGCATTAGCCCTAATACATTGACCTCTCGCAGAGTTGAAACTCCAAGACTCACCGTTCAAAACTAACTTGCACGTGGCTAGGCCCATACTATACATACATATTCATACATCAGTCTGTTATAATGCATATGAAATAATGTATGCATGATCAGGTAATAGCATAGTAATATCCAATAACATTAGTATTAATCACAGATCATTTCATATGTATAACTTATTATGATCACATCACAAGTATTTCCAAAAAGGGTCTCCTCTAGTTGCTGATGTCTCTCGGGTGATAGTCAGTCTGATAGAAAATGACAAGATTTTACAACTTGAGAGATAGTGGCTTAAAAACCCACCATGTATTGTCAGCGATATCTCCTCAAGCAGCCTCAACTTGAACAATTTTGAAGGCCTTTTTGCTATAAACAGTGGTGTTACAACAACGCGCCTTGTTATGTTCTTAGTGATATACCTCTACAAGAACAAAGATTTCTTCAAAGAATATCAAGTTCGAGCACAAACACTTAGTCAAGAATACTTGAATTATGCAGACATTTTGACCAGAAAAACCTTACTTCCTACCTGTTACCCTCTTAACCATTGGTAGCATATGGCATCAGGTAGCCTCGCCCAAAGGCGCTCAAGCCTTAGCCAAAATGGCAGAAGTCCCATGCATGACTGAGGGAAACAGTCTATACACATGGGCACGTGGACACAAGTCAGCATGCAAACAAGGAAGCGCGGGTGGCTTGAATTATGGGGGCAATGCTAACTTGAATAATGAGCCATGGGTTGGGTCATGGTTAGACACAAAGGTAATGCAATTCAGATGCTAAGGGCTCCTAGCACATGCACAACATGTGAGGAAGTTGGCTATATGACCTATAGATGGTGGCAATTCTGGGCAGTTTTCTAGCAAGTGCAGAGCATGTGGAAACTCTGTCAGATTCAGACAAGCATGCAAGGAAGTCTGTAGACACCAGTTATAACTTCTCTGTCATTCAATCACAGTAGACCTCTGGTAGCATTTAAATTATAGGCATGTGTTTAGGCGGTTGGGCTTGTAATCACCACCCTGAACATTATAAATAAGGTGCCTAAGGTCTGTAGTGTAACAAGAGAGTTGGCACGTTTTTGTAAACAAACCCAAAACTGAGTTTCTTATACTTTATTGAGAAAAAAAGGTTTGGTTGTTATCTGTAAATTCTGTGTGTTCTGTCTTTGTGTCTGATTACTGTCCCTTCTCTATTCTATGTGCATTCTGTGTACATTCTAAGTGTCTGACTGAAACTAAGTGTGGGATCTTAGTGTCATCACAAAGCAGAAATTTAGTGAGAAAATTAACCCCGTGACAATTAGTATTAGAGCTTCAGTTTGCGACCATGACTGGTGGAAACGCTACTGAATTGCGAGAACGTATTGTCCGTCTCGAAGATTTTCTAGGCACCCCTCAGACTTATGGTGCAACCAGCGTGACTGTGCAGATGAAGCAACACGATATTCAGATTGTGGGATTGCAGATGGCTTTTGATAGCTACATGTCTAACACTGATGCAAAGATTACAACAATGATGGGGGACATCATATCCCTCATAGACGCTGTCAAAACGAATCTGAAGGATCATGAAGATTAAGTGTCCCTGGTGAAGAGGGCCATGAATTCTCGATCTGCTGTGGGCGAGACGTCTTCAAAAATTAAAGTCCCTGAACCAAAGGCCTTCGAAGGCACTCGAAGCACCAAGGATCTCAAGAATTTTCTGTGGGACATGGAGCAGTACTTTAAGGCAGCCCATGTGCTTGATGGAGAGAAAGTGACAATCACCAGTATGTATTTATTTGGTGATGCCAAACTGTGGTGGTAGATCCGAAATGTGGATGATATCTCTGCTGGTTGTCCAAAGATCGAAACGTAGGAGACCCTGAAAAAGGAATTGAAGGATCAATTTCTCCCTAGCAATACGACCTGGATTGCTAGGGATTCACTCAAAAAGTTGAAACATACCGGAACAGTTCGTAATTACATGAATGAGTTTAGTTTGTTGATGTTGGACATCAAGAATATGTCAGAACAAGACAAACTCTTCAACTTTATGTCCGGACTGCAAGGTTAGGCATAGGCTGAACTGCGAAGGCAGAGGGTACATGATCTGCCTATTGTCATTTCTACAGCAAATGGCCTTGTTGACTTCAAAATTGGCAGCAGTCAATGCCCTTCTGAGAAAAAGAAGGATGGTAGTGGCAAGAAAGATAAGGCTGGCATTTTCAAAGACACAAAGAAAGCAGATTGGAAGAAAAAGAAGAACGTTGCTGACTTTAACAAGCCAAACAACAATCAGAAGAAGAAAATCTTTGAATTTGGCTGTTTTCTCTACAGTGGCCCTCATCATGTTAAAGGTTGCCCCAAGAGGGAGAAGTTAAGTGCCCTTGTTGCTACAAGTGAGAATGACACTGATGATGATTGTCCTACCCAAGTTAACCCTCTCCAGTTGTTGAACGCAATTACTGTGGGTAAATTTTAGTAACCTCGCAAAGGCTTGATGTTTGTACAGGCCTAGGTGAACGACAAGGAAGTTTAGGCCATGGTGGATACCCATAACTTCGTTGCCCAGGGAGAGGTGGGAAAGTTTGGCCTGAAATTGTCAGAGAATTCAAGCAAACTTAAGGCAGTAAATTCTGAAGCGAAGCCAGTACATGGTACAGTAGAAATACGCCTAAAGGTGGGTCTTTGGGAAAACCAAGTGAGTTTGATGGTTGTGCCCTTGGATGACTTTGATATCATCCTAGAGAATGAATCCTTTGTTACAACGAAAGTGGCACTGATGCCACATCTGAACGGAGTGTTGATCACAGATGAAAAAGCACCCTACTTTGTGCCTGCAGTCATGGCAGACCAAAGCAAGAAAGATGGAAAGCGGAAGATTGGAATGTTGTCCGTTATGGAAGTAAATGCTGGGTTGAAGAAGGGCGAGATAACATACCTCACAGTCTTGGTGGAGATCAAATCAGATATGCTAGTTGAAGTACTTGATGTAGTAGCAAATGTATTGGGTGAATTTGCTGATGTTTTGCCCCTTAAACTCTCCAAGAGCCTTCCACCTAGATGTGAGATTGACCACAAGATAGAACTGGAGTCTGGTACAAAGCCTCCAACCCGTGCCCCTTATCGGATGTCGCCAATGAAACTAACAAAATTGAGGAAGCAATTGAACGAGTTGCTAGATTCTGGTAGCATGAAGCCATCCAAGGCACCATACGGAGCCCTTGTTATGTTCCAGAAGAAGCAAGAAGGATTATTGTGTATGTGCATCGACTATCGTTCCTTGACCAAGGTGACTATTAAGAACAAGTATCATGTTCCAAACGTTGTTGATTTGTTCGATAGACTGTCCAAGACCACTTTCTACACAAAGCTGGATCTTAGGACTAAGTATTGGCAGGTTAGAATTGTAGAAGAGGATAAGTCAAAGACTACGTATGTGACGCTTTATGGTTCTTTTGAATTCCTTGTAATGTCGTTTGGGCTCGCTGGTGTCCCGGCAACTTTTTGTAATCTAATGAATGATGTTTTTTTACGATTACATTAATATCTTTGTGGTTATTTACTTGGATGACATTGTGGTCTATAGTGAAACGTTGGAGGATCATATAGATCATTTAAAGGTTGTATTCTCACAACTTAGGGAACACTAGTTGTATGTCAAAAAAGAAAAAGTGTGAATTCTGTCACCAAGAAGAGATGATCTTGGGACATTATATTAGCCAGGGCAAAATTTGGATGTATGAGAGGAAGGTGAAGGCAATTGTTGATTGGCCTGCACCAACCAAGGTGTCTGAACTGAGGTCGTTCCTTGGCCTAGCCAACTACTACCGCAAGTTCATTGAGGGATATTTCAAGATGTGCAATGTCCTGACTGACTTGCTGAAGAAAGATCAAAAGTGGGACTGGAATGAAACTTGTCAGACAGCTTTTGAGAAACTAAAACATGCAGTGTCCTCTGCACCTGTATTGAGACTGGTGGACTTTGATCTACCTTTCGAAGTGCACACTGATGCATTTGACCGTGCCATTGGAGGAGTCCTTGTTCAGGAGGGACACCCGGTTGCCTTTGAAAGCCAAAAACTGAAAGATACGAAACAATGATACTCAACACATGAGAAGGAAATGACTGATGTGGTGCATTGCCTTGAAATCTGGAGGCACTACTTGTTGGGAACGAAATTCACTGTTGTGATAGATAATATGGCAAACACTTATTTCAAGACTTAGAAGAAGTTGACCCCGAAACAAGCCCGATGGCAGGAATTTCTTGCTGAGTTCTATTTTGTATGGGTGCACAGACCCGGGAGGCAAAATCAAGTTGCTA